CTCATCCCGCTCTTCAAGCCATAGAGCCAGCGTTTGTCCGAAGACAATCTTTCCGTGGTCACATGGCCAGTGTGATTTAGACATGGAACGGTGTTTACCTTCGCATCGAGATGGTACCTATTTATCTACTCGCATTTGCATACTTTCGAACCGCTAGGTTGGCGGGAGCTGGGACAAGCGACGGGCGCTCACTCTGTCGCGTGGATTTGATCTTACGCCTGCTTGGTCTTCTGACCCTGCAGCACAGGCTTCTGCGGTTTAGCCCACAGCGCCACCACGTCCCTATAAATCGGTAATTAAGCCTAAATCAAAACCCCCTCCACTTTATCATTTGATGAAATCAATTTAGGGTGAAATATCCCTGCCTTAATTGCAGAAGCCTCTGAAACCTTCCTATGCATGTGGGCTAGCTGGTAGCTGTCATGAAGACTCCACGTGTAGCTTCTGTTCTCCAACGAAGAAGTGGCAACTGAACTTTTGCGGAAGGAAGAGGAAGGAAACAGGCCTAAGAGTATCAGTCTACATGAACAAGGTGGTTAGTTGGAAAAGACAAGAAGGGGGAAGATACCTAGCTACTCTACCTGGCTTTCTATCAGTGTTATCTTCCCCAGTGGTCCAGGCTGCTTGTTACAAGTTTGGGTGTGCCCAACATCCTAAGTCTTGCTATCGTAACTAGAAAAGGATAAGGTGAGGGAAGCTTGCTTCAACTGGCCAGTTATGCCCACCTGAATCTGGATTGAGCCCTGGATGTTGAGTGAATGACATTGATCCCTAGTTTATGGGGGATGCTTGTCGCATCTCCGAAAGGTGCTTGTGCCACCTGCCATCCCAGGGGAAGATGTCCCCAAAACATGAGATGTTTTCCTGATTACACAGCCAAGGGGTCGCCAGACAGGGTCCCACTTGTGGGATCCTCCAAGCCAGGGAGGATCCCACCCTTGAGGGGCAGACACACCGGCGGAGCGCTGACAGAAAGAGTGTGTTGCCAAAAGAGCTGATTGCGTGGCAGTCGCTCCGAGGGGTGTACATGTGTGCGTTTGTGTGTCGGTGTCCGTTGTGCAGAACAATCAAGCTGGCGCGTAATTGGGTTTTTTTGCTCTATCTCGGCTCATCTCCCACCCCTCGCCCACCGCAGGAGGCGTATCTCTTTTCTGAGCCGATTTCTCCCGCATTTCTTTCCCCGGCACTAATTGCACTTCATTTTCTCTCTCTGATGTTTCTAATTACCTGTTGCACGCTCTGGCAAGGCGCCAGAGCCCTTGCGCGGAGGAGAATGGAAGATCTCCTCCTTCCCATAGGAATGGTAAACAAAGGCAAGAGGACCTGAGGGGAGGCAACCCTTTTCGGAACGCGCAGGCAGCCTGGCGCCCCGAGTTGGTGAAACTCGGGGTGCGTTCCCGCTGACGACAGGTCGGTTTCCCAAATGGGGAGGGGAAAAAAATGCAAGCCCAGCTCTCTGAGCGATTCCCACAGTCGAGGATGCAAACAGGCTTGACTGTGTAGCAACTGATCGGCTCTTAAAAATAACCCACCGCTGGGAGATGGTGGGTGTTTTTCACCAGGCACGTTGAAGTATGAGTTTCTTTCCTAGCCACCAGCGTTTGCAAACAGTACATCACATAGAGTATCAAAGAATAAAACCACCACATCAAAAATCAGGAAGAAAACTATAGCTGGGTGCATCGGATGGAAAACAGAACTGGATAAGATGAAGTCAATCAAATGGATTAAAAAGGTTTAAAGTTCAAGGCTCTGTATTCTATCTTATATTCATAGCACCCGCCCAGAATTTTGCACATTCGTCCACTCATTTTATTGTTTTAACCTGCAAAGAGGGGGAAAAACACACAAATTCCAGGGGGTGGCCTAAGACTAAACAATCCTGAAGGATTTCCATCGCTTGCTTATTTGTTGGTTTGTGGATTTAATTTTTTTTTTTTACTGTGCCTTTCTCCTAAGAAAAGGACCCAACCATCCTGGGTTAACCATTCAGAATAGCGCTATGCACTCATGGGGCGGTATATAAATGTAAGAAATCAATCAGTCGTTGAAAACACAGTATTAAAAGTTAAAACCAATAAATGATTCAAATACTAAAGAGTGTGCAACATTGTATTGAAAATGCTAGGCAAAGTGTAACATGATACTGAAAACGTTATGAAAAACAGAATTGGGAGCAACAAAATAGAAACCATCCTCTTTGTTATCCCCTAAATAATCAGTTGCTAAGGTGGGAAAACTGCCTGAAGAGAAAGGTCTTTGCCTGCTTGCAGAAGGACAGCAAAGATGGGGCCAGCCTGGCCTCCAGTGGCAGGAAGTTCCAGAGTCTAGAACTGGTTGTTGAGACATAGTACAAAAATGAAAGCAGCTGGGTTGATTCTCAAGAGCAAGGCATAATATCAAATCCACAAGTGAAAACTGTACCTAGGAGACATGGCTTCAGATTCCCATGGAGGTCTAAGGGTTTTCGGGTAGACCATGGCAAAAGAATCCTTATGGAAGGATGGCCTTTGATCCAGTCTACCTTACAGGATCGTTGTGAAGAAATTAATTGGTTCAAACAAGCTGCTGAACTGGTCTTTAATAATGGCAGTGCTCTACGCCAGGGCCTCTTCGTATCTTACGTCCCGCCAGTGTGTGGTGAGGAATAAAAGCTTTTGTATGTGAAGGATCTCCTTCCTAGGCCTGATCCAGACATTCATAAGGAATTTGCAAACATGGCATTTCACAAAAATTATTCTTTTGGAGGGGAATTCCCCCAAAGGCTCAGTTTGACAAATGCAAACCTTCCCACCGCTTGACGAATGGAAATCTGTTGGTTAAGCCTTCTTGTCAGATCTCCAGCCATCCCCCTTGATCTTATCCTTCCGCCCTCTCTGCGACTCTCCTTCCCCTTGATTTGTTCTTCGGTGCTGGGGCGGGGGCTGTCTGTTCGGTCTTGCCGGCGCTTCAGATCACCCGGTCGCTCGGCTGAGAGCTCGCGTGGCCCTGGACTTGTTTTAATTCTGAGATGGAGCCAAACATGCTGGATGGCTGGTTGGGCAACTCGTCCTAATGATGTTATAAATATATGTATGAGGATGGTGATTAATCAGCGGAGAGATGGCGCAAGAAATCTCTCGTGGAGGGTAGCTGTCAGCAGAAGGAGGGTCATTTCTCAGGGAAGGGTGTTGGCTGCTCGGAAGCCATTCCTTCTCTCGAGATGTGTTGATCACCGCTTGACGAATGGAAATCTGTTGGTTCAGTCTCCTTGTCAGATCTCCAGCCGTCCCCCTTGATCTTATCCTTCTGCCCTCTCTGTGCCTCTCCTTCCCCTTGATTTGTTCTTCGGTGCTGGGGGGGGGGGCTGTCTGTTCGGTCTTGCCGGCGCTTCAGATCACCCGGTTGCTCGGCTGAGCGCTCGCGTGGCCCTGGACTTGTTTTAATTCTGAGATGGAGCCAAACGTGCTGGATGGCTGGTTGGGCAACTCGTCCTAATGATGTTATAAATATATGTATGAGGATGGTGATTAATCAGCGGAGAGATGGCGCAAGAAATCTCTCGTGGAGGGTAGCTGTCAGCAGAAGGAGGGTCATTTCTCAGGGAAGGGTGTTGGCTGCTCGGAAGCCATTCCTTCTCTCGAGATGTGTTGATGAACCGTTTGATTAGTGCACAATTTTTTTGTCTGGCGCCGCCTGCGACTTGCTTTCCTAATCATGCATCAATGACTTCTGGAAGATATCGGAGGGATTATTCAAAGCAGGAGACACGGCTCTCAGATCTAGCACAGGATAGATTTGCCATTTGACGAGCCGTGTCCGCTCTGAAGGTGTATAGGAACATTGTGCGGTGCCTTGGTCCATGGTCAGCTTTTGGGTAGCTAGAGTATTCCTGGCCAATGGCCGTACAGCTCCTCTTTGAAAACCTCCAAAGGTCATTGAATCATGGAGTTAATCGGAGGGATTATTCAAAGCAGGAGACACTGCTCTCAGATCTAGCACAGGATAGATTTGTCGTTTGACGAGCCGTGTCTGCTCCGAAGGTGTATAGGAACATTGTGCGCTGCCTTGGTCCATGGTCAGCTTTTGGGTAGCTAGAGTATTCCTGGCCAATGGCCGTACAGCTCCTCTTTGAAAACCTCCAAAGGTCATCGAATCATGGAGTTAGAAGGGGTCTCTAAGGCCATCGGGTCCAACCGCCTGCTCAAGGCAGGAATACCAAATCAAAGCAGATCAGACAGAGGGTGGTCCAGTTTTCTCTTGAATGCCTGAAGTATTAGAAAGCACACGACCTCCCGAGGTCCATTGTTGTACTGCTCTAACAGTTAACAAGTTTTTTCCTGATATTCAGCCTACGTTTGGCTTCTGGTCACTTGAAATAATGATGTGCCTTGCACTCTGGGATGATGGAGAACAGATCCTGCCCCTCCTCTGTACGACAGACTTTTCAGCTATCACCCCTCAGTCTTCTTTTCTCAAAGCTAAACATGCCAAGTTCCTTCAATCTTTCCTCAGAGGGCTGGTTTCCAATCTCCTGACCACCCTTCTCACCCACCTCTGAACTTGTTTCAGTTTGTTGGCATTCTTCTTAAAGTGCAGTCTCCAGAACAGGACACAGAGTACTCTGGATCACTGGTTCTTAACCTTGGGTTACTCAGGAGTTTTGGATTGCAACTCCCAGAAGCCTTCACCACCAGCTGTCCTGACTGGGGTTTCTGGGAGTTGCAGTTCAAAAGCATCTGAGTAACAAAGGTTAAGAACCACTGCTCTAGATGAGGGAAACTAGGAGAGCATACTTCTGTTAATGCATCCTAAAATCGCATTGGCCTTTTTTGCAGCCGCTTTGCACTGTTGGCTCATATTCAGCTCTTGATTCACAACCGTTCCAAGATCCTTCTTGGCAGGAGAAGAGCCTCCAGCAAAGGAGGTTTTTGAGTTTCCTCATAAATCTATTCCATCTTGTCTCGGCACCAATTGGGATGTGTTTAAAATGCAAACTGTATTTTGAACACAAGTGGCGCATGGCGGCTGTCCACCTTGCTTGGTGGCTCAAGTACATGCATGTGCAAGCAGGAAAGCTGGAAGTATACCGTAATTGAAGAAAGATAGGAGGAAGTGTGTCTGTCCCCTGAAAAATGTGACTTAAGGATGCTTGCCTTCCCTTGGGTGTCTCTCACATCATCATCGTGGTCCCCTTGCTGTATGATCTTTCCAGAACGGTAGAAAAACACTCTAAGAGCCCAAAGGATTTCCAGAATGAGCTTATGTGTGAAATAGAATTGGATCCAATTAGTGACCTTAGTCCCAGTAGGACTGGTTTCCTTGAGCTATTCCCACTGGAATTTGGGCCATGTATAAGGAAAGCTGGTTTAAACATCATATGACGCCTTAGGAAAAAAAGAGAAAAACGGAAGTACCTGTTTCTCTAGAAAGAACAAGGAAAAGGCCATGTGGTTCTCCGAGATTACACAGATGTGAGCATGGGGGGTGTCTTTTATTGGGCCAATAAAAAAAAATCAAACAGAATGCAAGCTTTCATAGAGAAAATTCCACTTCTTCAGGCTTAGCACAACCCCTTTATGGTTAATGCAGAAAAATGGTTCCCAAGTGTCCAAAAACCAAAGCCATTTTACTATTAGAAGAACTTCAATTCTGCAACTCATTAACTGTTGACAAATTATTGCTGTCGTTTGCACCACTGGAGCGACATGGAACTAACGAATAGGATTCTGCCTACAGGTCCCCCCTACCATCAGCCCATGGTTTCAGTTGTCAAATAATAAGTAAACTCTTCCATAAACCTAATTGATTTGCTGGATCTATTTTAGTTAAAACGAGCAATTGGATTTAAGACAAAAAAAAAATCTAGAAATTAGAAGCAAATCGGGTTGTTGAGAACATAGCTTGAAAAAATCAGCACGGTGGCCCAGCCTTAGATTTTCAGTGTCCAATGTTCTTCCTCTCTTCCAGGTGTTTTGCTAGACATTCAGCAGCATTTTGGAGTGAAGGACAGCGGGGCAGGCTTGCTTCAAACAGGTAAGAGAATCCTGTTTGCGTCTTTTTCTCTTCCCGATGCCGTGTGGCTTTTTCAGAGAGGTTTTGCGTGTTTTTGAGACTGCTTTTTTGCACTTTTGTTAGCACTGGCTTGAGGGCATGCAATTGTCATTATTTAAAGTTCAGACAAAAACCCAGAGCGGACTCAGGGCTTGGCAGGCAGTGGACTCACCAGCCTTCACTCGCCAATGGATCAAAATAAGAGCGGGCACGATGGAGGGTCAAGGGACACGCCAGCAAATCCAACTCGCCCCATTGCATGCACTAGGAAAACAATGCACTCTGAACGAAGTAACATTTCCAAGTGCTGCCTTTCTCCAGTATTTGGGAGAGAAGAAAAAATAATCAGTTCGGGTTCACCTTGGAATACATCTGCAGACTTCCACTGTATTAGGGCTTCCAGCCTTCATGTCAATTGCTCAATTACGTTAATAGAGGAAAGCGTTCAGATTTAACTTTGAAGTCCCTCCTGGTTAATTAGACAGTAGATTTTGAACAGTTAAAGCTATTTGTAAATCTTAGCCATTAAAAAGTGCTGGTGGCGAGCACCATCTTAGAGAGATTTTATTCGTTTTGTCTCCTCGGATGTCTGGATCTGTGCATTGTTTAAAAACCACCAAAGGGCTAAAATCCAGCAGCGCAGTGTAGCGGGTGCAGCAGGGAAGCTGCCATCAGCAGCATGAAATAGTTGCATATTAACACTTTCCTTTGGGGTGCGCGTGGCTTGTCGCCTTGTGTACAAATTGCCCTTTCCTGAATCAGTGGTGAGTCTCCCCTTCTGGGTCCCAGGAGCAGAGCTTTAGAAAAACAAGCACGCTCCCTGGGGATTCTGGGACAAGGGGTCCAAAAGGGTAGCACCCCCCCGCATTCTCAAGCCAGGAAGGCTGAATTTGGGATGTGTCTTCTCCGTATCAATTCCCAGCCTGGACTGAACCCACAAACACTGGAAGAAACGTCAAGGGCCCTAAACCCCAGTGTTCGATTCAGGGGCTGAGATCAGGCTTTGCGTCCTCTGGATGGTGGTGGTGGGAAATCAACCTGCTAGCAACAAAATGAGACACTTCTGTAAAGCATATGCTCTGTCCGGTTCAGCCTGTAGCCTTTTCCAAAGTCAAGCCGGCTTTAAATCATGTATTTCCAGAGGGTTAGCAATGTTCATCCCCTTGCAGGAAAAAATGACAAAGGATCTCGTGGCATTTTAAGAATTAACAGGTTTTTTTGTGTCTTTTGAGACTTTGGCCTGCGCCTGGAATCTTAGACCTGCTGAGCTGGAAGGGACCCTGTAGATCATCAAGTCCAGCCCCCTGTCAAGGAGGCACCCCGGGGGATTCGAACTCCCAACCCACACCTAAAGCACCAAGCGATCCGGTAATTCGCAGCACAAACAGAACCCACAATAGCTTTTCAGACTGTAGCTCTGAGAATTCCTCGGCTGGGGGGGAATTCTGGAGGATGTCGTCAGAATTTTTTGAAAAAAGAACTTTCCCAATCCATCCACATAAACAGAGAAGCTCTCTCTTGTAATCCTTTAGCTGCTTTTCTTTATGTGATGGGATGATACCTCCCTGCTTCTCCTGGATTTTATGAATCTGTTCACAAGTGTCTCTCTCCAACTCTGAAAAACAGCAGAATTAGCAGACGCTGCCGCCGGCTTGTTCTGCACGGCGTGTTTAGAAGCTTCCAGGGATTTGGATTAAGCTCAGCCAAAAGGGCGGCTGGAGTTGAGGGTGCTCTGTCTGCATTTTAAAAATGTTGGTGCATTGCTTGCCTCGAAGAAGGAGACATTCTGACTGCAATTGATTGCTTCTCCCACTTATTTTTCCTTCCTTCCTTCCTTCCTTCCTTCCTTCCTTCAGCTCCCTCCCATTTTTTCCTAAAAAAAGAGTCCAGTAAGCTGGACTACTTCGGTACTGCTCTGTGTGGGTCTTCCCTTGGAGACAGTTTGGAAATAACAGCGACTGCTAAAAAAAGCTTATATGCATACACCCCACTGGTGTATGCTTCAGGCGTGCTTCTCACTGGACGCTCCATTTTCCAGAACTTTTAAGGATCAGATTTTCTGCTCTCCTCCAGACATAGGAATATGTCTGGTGGCGTAGGGTTAAGTTTGCCTTTTAGATGATTCTCCTGCTATTTTTATCGGCTTTCTCACCCACCTCCCTAGTGGTGCATTTCCCAGAAGTTCCTTTTTTACATTATTACTCATCCTGAGCAGGAAAAGCACCAAAGTAGAGTGAGGATATCCTTTATAACTCCAGGGATGTTCTGGCAACGTGTCCAGCTGTTTTGTTTTCTGCTTCAGATCCGCCAAACGTCTCCCCAGAACTTGCTGACTGCGCTTAACGTCTGAGGAATTGGGTCCTCCTGTTGTGCTCAAGCTGGCATTTGTACTGCACTGTGTCTCTGTGTTACTTTGGAGTAGACATGCCCTTTTGGAAATGCCCCGTGAACATAGAATCATGGAGTTGGAAGGGGCCTATAAAGCCATCAAGTCCAACCCCCTGCTCAGTGCAGGAATAGGAATCAAATCAGATCTGGTATATCCCATCATGTATCAGAAAAACAGGTGTAAGGATTTATATTATTTTGTCTTCAAGCTCCTGGCTTTCTCCAGCAGTATCAGAACAGGAGTGTGTAAAACCTAGCCTCAAATAGTGATGTGTTTGCATGCGTGGCAGGTGTACTCATTAAACTTCAGCATAAAACCTGTATCCTATGAGCAGTTATGCGTTAGCCTCTTGATATCCAAAGTATGCCTGGTTCAACCTAGATGAGATGCCAGCTTCGCAGTTAAAAGCAGACCATACGTTTTCCCTCCAGGGACATCATTCATTCAGAACATCATGCCTGAGCCACTGGACTTGATGATGAAGTCTGTGTTGACTTGCCAATAACAAGCGCAAGCTGATTTTGCAAGATACAGGAGGCGAGGAATGCTCTTTGCTGGGATAACTATGCCTTTCCCACTTAGGGGAGTGCTTTAAATGACGTGCTGACTGGAATGTTTAATTTGACCTCTTAGAGGCCTGTGGGTGGTGTGAATTCCAGTTTCAGTTTCCCTCACACCTTCTCCTGATCGTTGGGTTTTTTTTTTTTGGTGGGGAGAAAGGAGGCCTTTAGAAATCACAACCTGTTTAATCGCTATCCATCGCCTCCCCCAGTTTTTTTTTAAATATGCTTTTGTCTTATTTCTCTGTAAATCAGCAGCGCTCTTAGATTTCCTGACAGAGAGGCGAGTTGCCTCGGTTGACTGGCATCTCCCAGGGCGGAAGATGTCCGCTGGCGCGTGAAGGGAACCCAATCGCTGTAGAAGATGGGCTGTTTGTTTTCCTCCATTCACCTAATTAAAAGCCGGGGAATTTCCAGCTACGTACAGAAAAAGAACAGGGAGAGTCGTGAGGAAGACACCTGTATTGGGGTGGATCAGCCCCATGGAAGCAGAAATAGTTACAGAGCCACCGGTCCTGCCTAGATAATTAAACCTTTCCTGTCTTTTCCACCACAGCCCCGGTGAGAACAAACGCATTATTTCCATCCTTTGTTTGAAAATATCACCTCAAATCCATCCCATTTAGGGAGAAACCTTCAATCAGAAGGGCGTTGTGTTGCTTCACTTTTTTTTTTTTTTTTTTTTTTACTCCTGTGCCCTTTTCTAGCATTGGCATCTGCTGGTATTTTGGGCCTGGGAAAAGCAAGCCCTGTTTGGAGAAGGATCCAGTTAGCATTTCATTAGAAGCAGCGGTCTTGGGATCAAATAAAAGACATCTGATTGTCTTGGGACAATCTTCTCTCCTTCAGCATTTGGCCATTAGCTTGCTTTTGTTTTCTGGTTGGCCTGCTAACAGGCAAACGTGGACTTCAATTACAATTCTCCCGGTGCTTTGACAGAATTGCGTGCCTGGAAAGAATGCATTGTAATAGCAGGAAAATATGCATAATCTTTAATGCATAATCTGACTTTCAATACTGTAATATTTCTTCCCCTACCAAATGGCAGTTTATTTTGATGTTTCTTTTGTTCTTTGGCTTTTTGTTGTTGTTGTTAAAGCGCTGCCTTTCACAAAACAGGATTTTATTTTTTGTTACTGTTTTAAAAATAACTGCTAAAGAGAAGCTTAAAACATCACTTCTGTGCGTGGTGCTCTTGTCGAAGTGATCCTCGTTTGGGGGTGTCCATAACGGCCGAGCTGCGAGGCTAGCTTGGGTGGGCATGTGTTGTTGAGCAGGGTAAAATGAAACGCAGACGACTTGTGCAGAGTGAGGGCCGCCGTGCAACGGCTGGGGAAGTCGAAGGTCCATTCTGTAGAAGAAAGCAAGGGCAGGATCACTGAGCGATGACCTGTTTTCATTTAATGCACTACAAGGGAGTGAGAAGGAAGCAAAATAGGAGCAGGGGAAGGATCGTAGCTTCGTAGCAGGGCGCGTAATTTGTAAGCAGAGGGTTGCCGGTTCAACCCTGTGTGGCTCCAGATATGAAGGTGTGTGTTCATGTGTATCTGGGTACACACACACACACGGGGGGGGGAGATGTGTGTGAGAAATATTTTTTTAATAATCTAGAAAGCAACATTTCCTGCATAATAAACAGAAATTGACTATACAATACTAAGCAACATACCATTGGCTGGTTGGTCGGTTGGTTGGGTGGTTGGCTGGCTGGCTGGCTGGCTCTTCGGTTGGCTGGCTGGCTGGCTGGCTGGCTGGTTGGTTGGTAGGCTGGCTGGGTGGCTGGCTGGTTGGTTGGTAGGCTGG